AAGACGCCTGTCATGACACCAAGAAGGTCCCAGAAGCCTCCAAGACGCTCCGAGAGGCAGCCCAAGAGAGGCCCAAGAAGCAAAAATCGTGCCATTCCTATGGGAAAACGTATATTTTTCGCATGTTCGCCTCTTGGGCTTTCACCGCGTCCAAGACGGCCCAAGAGGCGCCCAAGACGGTCTACGAGGCCTCCGGGAGCGCTCCAAGGCTGCGCACGAGTGGCCCAGGACGGCCCCAAGACGGCCGAAGAGAGCCCCAAGACGAGTTCGAGAGGGGTCCCAGACGGAGAAAGCCAACCTCGAATTCCGAGCTTCCGGCCCAAGAGGCTCCAGGAGGCGCCAAAACGCCGCCAAGAGGCGCCAAAAGGCTCCCAAAAGCACCCCAAGACGTTCCGAGAGGCACCCCAAGAGAGGTCCAAGGAACGGGAAAACGTATATTTTTCGCATGTTCGCATCTTGGGCGCCTCCAAGACGGCCTAGGAGGCCTCCGGGAGCGCTCCAAGGCTGCGCACGAGTGGCTCAGGACGGCCTCCAAGACGGCCCAAGAGAACCCCAAGACGACTTCGAGAGGGGTCCCAGAAGGAGAAAGCCACTCTCGAATTCCGAGCTTCCGGCCCAACATATCCCAGGAGGCGCCAAAACGCCGCCCAGAGGCGCCAAAAGGCTTCCAAAATCAGCCCAAGACGTTCCGAGAGGCACCCCAAGAGAGGTCCAAGAAACAAAAATCGTGCCATTCCTATGGGAAAACGTATATTTTTCGCATGTTCGCATCTTGGGCTTTCACCGCGTCCAAGACGGCCCAAGAGGCCTCCAAGACCGCCCCAAGACGGCCCAAGAAGCTTCCAAGAGGGCCCCAGGACAGCCCAAGAGGGCCCCAAGACGGCCCAAGAGGCGCCCAAGATGGCCCAAGAGGGCCCCAAGACGGGCCCAAGAGGGGGCCCAGAGGGGGACCACGAACCGCAAGCTCGAGCCTTCCGCCCCAAGAGGCCGCCAGGAGGCCCCAAGGAGGCCCCTCAAGAGGCCCCAGGAGACCCCCAAGAGGCCCAAAGGAGGCCCCGAGAAGCCCCAAATCGGCCCCCAAAATGCTTCGAACCTGCTTCCAGGAGGCCCCCGACAGGTTCAGAGGCTCCCGAGAAGCTACGTCAAACTCCCAGCGAGCGGCCGGACGAGGCCCCCCACAAAATCACAAGAGGGTTCCAGTATTTGTATCCTTCAGCGCTCTCTGGCCTTCTTCCCCCTGCCCCCTTCCCTGCGACTTTCGTTGACTCAAGCTCGCCTCCTAGCTAGAACCTAAGCGCGCGCGAAGCGCGCGCGTGGTTCTAGTATATATATATATACACATATACATACATACATACATACATACATACATACATACATACATACATGCATGCATGCATGTATACATACATACATACATACATACATACATACATACATACATACGTTTTCCCTAGGGGAATGGGAAGATGCTACCGAAGGCTCGACGTGTGCACCACGTCGTGCGGTCGGCAAGGCAGCCAGGGAGCTCGGCGGAGGAGTTCTGACACAGACGCTCAAGCGTCCCACGGGTCCGGCAGCTGGGGCGCCCGTGCGCCGAGCTCCTCGCCCGACCAGGCGACGTGGTGTAGACATCGGACGCCGGCGTGGTGCAGCCCCTTCGCACGATCGTCAGAGCCCCTACCCGTCAGGGCTGGGGGCGGTCAGGGGTAACCACAGGCTCGCGCCGCGGGGGCCCAAACCGGAGTTACCCCGGACCGCAGCTGTCCCGGATAATGCGGGCGTCTAGCCCTCCCGAGCTTCGCGCCTCGGGGGCCCAAACCGGAGGTACCCCAGACTGCAGTTGTCCCGGATGATTCGGGCGTTCACTATTGTCTGTTGTCGCAGGAGAAAAAGCGGCATACACAATTTTTGTTCGGCGATCCGCGCGGATTTCTTGAATCTGCGCTGGGCCCCCCTGGCGGCGCCTCCGGTGCCGAGGTCCAGCGCCGATCCAAAGAATCCCGCGCGCAGCGCCGAAAGTTTGTGTTTATGTGGTTGCTTGTTTCTCTAACCCAGCGCGCCCGAGAACAAATCATACCCTTCATTTCCCCCCTCTATTTTTTGATCCCGTGTCAATAGTCTTTAATTTTAGAGAGGGCGCGGAGGCCGAACTTGATAATCCCCGGGGGAAGTTGCGAATTTAAGTTGATATCGTCTCATGCTGACTTAGCAACAGCATCACAAACGCTGAGCATGGCCGTCGAGTCGAAGCACGCCACCCTCGAGGAGGCAAGCGCTGCCGCCCAGGCCTGCACCAACTGCCTCCCGTGCAAGGACGGTTCCAAAAGGGTGCCGAGCCTGCATGGGCGAGTGGTTCGAGGTCGTGCACAAAACAGGTTTCTTGGCCAGGAGCGCCAAGGACCTCTCTTGCGCAGGCAAGTTGTAGTCACGAGACTCGAGATCTCTCGAGTCAGTCTCGTGCCAAGATCTACCAAGTTAGTCTACACGAGCGCCCAGGATCATCATCATCATCATCATCATCATCATCATCATCATCATCATAAGCAGCTTTGCCTGGGGAAAAAAGGTGGTTATGCCCGCCAGACCTCCGCACTTGACTATCCCCAGGGAATTGTTACCGGGATCGCAAGGTTATTCGCGCGATTGTTTTGCGGAGCAGAGGTTGCCCACGCCACTCGCGGAGTACTACGTGTTCTGAGCTCGCATCCCTCCTGCCCTCTGTCATGGCCGCCCTTCCTGCGTTCAAGCCTTCCTGGTGCGCAAATAACTCTGCCGTTGCCCTGGCCAGTTCTCCAGCGCTGCGTGGTCTGCCCATGTCGTTGCGGCACACAGGCTGATCGCCTTGAGGTCGTTTCATGTATTGTCAACTGTCGGCGGCGAGCGATGGAGGGACATTCGAAGCAAAATGCCTTCTCAGAAGGTGGCGGGGCTTCTCAGAAGCCTTCGCGCCTTCTGAGAAGGGCTTTGTTCTCGCGGGAGACTTAAATAACTTTTCAGAAGGCCATCGGATGTCCGAACATTATGAGAAGGCCTTTTCCTTCCTTTCCCCCCCCTCGCTCGCCGACGAGAGTGCGGATATTGTTACAATGATCCGCCGAATTCCCACCGTGCAAAGTCCATCGTTGCCGCGTGGCTTACGAACTACGCGCGTTCCTTTATTTTCATGGTTTCCTGGGGATCGCAATGAGACCACAAAAGTGTCGGTTGGGTTTGGCTTGGTCGTCCCCTTCCATCCCCCTGCTCCGCTTCATGCCCCCCGACCGCCTCCTCGCCCCCCCCCCCTCTTCCACCTCCCCTCCGCCATCCTCATCCTTCCCCAGCATTCATCATGATCCTCATTTGTTCGTCCTCCTCTTCCTCCTGTGGGTCAGGCCACGGACCCCGAGCGCCCGCCCTGACAGGAAGGGCAGTGGGGAGTTCGCTGCAGTCAGTGTTCACGGAGAGCTAGCAGTCACATCCTTGCCAACAATGCCATCCATCATTGGCCAGAATGTGTGTAAACCAGACTGCCGTTTCCCTCCCCTTCCTCCCGCTGCTGCTCCCACCCGCCCTTATGGGTAACGTACCGTGTGGCAGTACCCAACGTGTCCGTAGGCCTGGAAAAAAGGCGTTTCGATTGAGATGTCCGTACACCTGACGAACACGAAAGAACATAATTCCAACAGCTGCAAGGATCGAAGGCTGGCCGCTTCCAAAATGCGGCTCCAACACGAGCGCGGCGTATGTTCGTTTCGAATATTTCCCGATGTGAGAACGGTGGAAGTCCGATCGTTTGTCAAATGTGGTTTTGGTTTCGGCGTCTCGCACATTCCTCTCAAACGCTTCAAGCTTTGATGATGGAGGACCGGTGGAGGTCAAAACGTGGCTCTGGCCTAGGGGCCGTACACATTTTCGTTTCGACTGAAGTGTCCAACCGTTACCAAGATGTATGGCGGTTCTTTCTCAAACTGCGGTTTTCGCTTGGGACCTTCTCAAATTATACGACGCGACGGTACACATTGGGCAACAGGTGCACACATGGAGGGCAGGCCCTTTTCAAACTAGGGCTCTCTCATGCGATGTTCGCACATCTGTTGACCGACATTTCGTTGAGTCGTGCAACACGTAAGCGATTTGAGGACAGATCATTTTCAGAGTCGGGTTCTCGTTTGACGCTTCCTGCCATTGGTTTTTATCGTGAATTCTTGCGGTGTTCCACGCCAGGAGGATGGAGGGCGGATCTGCTTACGAGACGGGGCACCCGGGTGTGCGGGCCCACTGGGCGCCCGTCGCTCCAGTGGAGGCGCGTCCCGCACTGGCAGTGAACCCATGCTTGGACTCAGGAGGAGGGGATTTCAAGCCCGAGGGGGGTCTTGCAGCGGCGTGGACGCAGCCTGGATCTCCTCTGGTCCGCCGCCTCCTCCTCTTACTCCTCCGCCTTCTCCTCTCCCTCGGACCTGCCTGTTTGGAGGCAGGCTAATCCATCATCCAGCATCCTCCTCTCTCACGTCCTTCTCCTTCCCCCCCTTCTCCTCCTCCCCCTTCTCCTCCTCCGCTCTCCTCCTCCTCCTCCTCTCGGATGCAACTCGTGGAAGTGTTTGATTCGGTATCGGCGCATGTATGTCCGTGGTCGAAACAATCCAGATCCGACATCGTCCCGCTAGATCTGGCCGAAGCGAAAGCTTCATCCCAGGCTTAATCCGGCTGGATCCGGCTTCGTGCCCCCCAATCGTTCCCAAGAAGAGTTTCTTGGATTTATTTCCTAATCTCCTGGTCCTCCTCTCCTCCCCGCCCATCCTCCTCCTCCTCGTCCTTCTCGGCCTAAGCCCTTCGAAGCCTTCGTGGGCAGGGAGGGCATAGCCCGACCCTGCACCCCCCCTGGGGGGACACAACAACTTCATCTCCTGTCGGGAGGCGCGCCTCCTCCTCGACATCTCCCCTCCGCCCCCCCCGCCGCCTCATCGCCATCGCCCCGACGCCTCCCCGACATCGCCCCGACACCGACCCGACACCACCAGGTGCTCGGGCCCTTCGCGGGGCAGCACTTCTCCTGCCGCGCGGCGGAGCCCTGTGAAGTTGCGCCGCTGGTTGGCCTCGGGCCGGCGGTCGGGCTGCTGAGCCGGAGGCGGGCGTTCACGGAGGAGGGAGGGAAGGGAGGGAGGAGGAGGAGGAGGAGGAGGAGGAGGAGGAGGAGGAGGAGGAGGAAGAGGGGGACGAGGAGGGGAGGAGGACGAGGAGGAGGATGAGGAGGACCAGTGTGAACCCAAGAGTCATCAACGATGTTGGAATAGACCCTCCCTCCAAGCTCCCTCTTCATAGGCCCCTACAGCGGTTCATTTCCATTGAAGGAACTGCCTCTTTGGAAGACAACTAACTATTTGAAGACCCTGAAGCATGCCAAAATATAGTTCTCGGGATTCCAACGCCACGGATCAACCTGACTGTTGCGTCTTGACAATCCTGAATCGTGCCAGGACGTCGTTCCTGGGACTTCGACACAGCGAATCAACCTAGTTGTTACACCAGTATGACCCTTAACCCTCTCAAACCACAATGTCTGGCACGTTGATGATGGGAATATGTCAAACCCTTGCAGATTGTTAAAACGGATGTGCGCCGCGCTAAGGACCCGCCCTCAATACGTGAAACTTCTTGCATTTTGTAATGAATGCGCGCCGCGCTCAGGCGAGAGCCACACTTTGACAACCACCCGCCCTCAATCCGTGAAACTCTTGCATGTTTTAGAACGAGTGTGCGCCGCGCTAAGGCGAGAGCCACATATTGAAAAGGAACGGCCCTCAATCAGTGAAACTCTTGCAAATGTTTAAAACGAATGTGCGCCGCGCTGAGGCGAGAGCCACATGTTGAAAACGACCCACCCTCAATATGTGAAACCCTTGCAAGTGTTCAAAGCGACTGTGCGCCGCGCTAAGGCGAGAGCCACATGGTTAGAACGACCCGCCCTCGATCTGTGAAACAGTTGCCAATTCTTAAGCTCCAGAGTCATACATGGTGAGGAAGTCTTAGGCGAAACGCCCTGCCCGCCCTAAAAACATGCTTCGGGGTGCGACAGGGAGAAGTTATTTACAAGGAAAAGGAATGGAGGCGGAGGAGGAGAAGGGAGAGGACGAGGAGGAGAAGACGGAGGAGGAGGAGGAGGAGGAGGAGGAGGAGGAGGAGGAGGAGGAGGAGAGAGGAGGAGGAGGAGGAGAGGAGGAGGAGGAGGAGGGAGGAGGAGGAGGATGAGGGAGGAGGGAGGAGGGAGAGGGGAGGAGGGAGGGGGGAGGAGGGAGGAGGAGGGAGGAGGAGAAGGGAGGAGGGAGGAGGAGAAGGGAGGAGGGGGGAGGGGGGAGGGAGGAGGGAGGAGGGAGGAGGGATGAGGGAGGAGGGAGGAGGGAGGAGGGGAGGACATTTTGCAGCGTGATCTCTCGGAGTGTTCGCCTCGTGGCGATGTGAGTGAGTGAGCAGCCTGTTTCGTAAGGAGTCTATACATGACGATGGTAATGATCATCGCGCATGTGATTCGTAGCATATCCACTAGTTGGGCTGCTTTCCGCCCCATCCCTGTTTCGGTTCACGGGGGATGGAACCGATGATGATGATATTCTTAGGTAGGAGCCGCAGGAGGAATGATGAGGAACACGAGGAGCAAGGCATGAGGAGGAGGGGGAGAAGGGGAGGAGCTGAGCATGAGGGCATCAAGGATGCGCAGTAGAAACATATCATTGAGGGGAAGAGAAGAGCGAGGATCAGCAGGTGTCAGGGGGTTCTGAGGGTGGGCGTTAGGGACTCCTGGAGGCGTTAGGGGTTCCTGGGGAACTCTGGGTAGTCTCACCACACTCCCTGGGAAAGGAGAAGGGTGAGAACGACGAGGACGACGAGAACGACGAGACAAGAACGACGAGGACGAAAGGACGAGGACGAGGCCGAGGATGTCCGTCGCATCGGGCTCCTGATCCCGAGGCTGGATTGATAGACAGACCAGCCAGACGGGCCCCTGACCAGCTCGGCGCGGGCTCTCCATGGTCGCCTCTTACCCACCTGAGCATCATCGATTCTGCTCATTGGGGCTCCTCCTTCTGCTTTTCCCCCTCTTCTTCCACCCCTCCTCCTTCTCCCCCTGGGCACAGCAGAGGAGGCGGACGCGATGCGTTCGCCCCACCACGGGGCCGCTGTCTCCGACGGGTGACTTACCTGACACCCGACGGAGCCAGCGGCGAACCTCGAAGTCGCCGACGGCGGCCACCTGGCGTATGCAGGGAGGCAATACAACAAAACGAAGAATGCACATCTGACGAGCAGGCTAGCTCGAGAAAAAGGAAGCAGGCGTGCAGCGACAGACGTGCTGCTCACAGGGCCTTGAGCTCTGTGCGTTCGCCCCACCGCGGGGCCTCAGTCTCCGTCGTGTGACTGGCCTGACACTCGACTGAGACAGCGGCGAGCCTCGAAGCCGCTGCAGTGCGCGGCGTTCTTGAACGTTTCCCGCGACAACGTGCGCGCGGCCCGCCCTGCGCCGGCCTCGGACGAACCGGCAAAAGGGCAGGGGGGCGCGACGCCGCCGTGCGCGGGCCTTGGACAGGTCACAGAGCCTCGAGCTCTGCAATCTTATGGATAAGATTGCCAATCTTGAATCTCTTCTCGGCCAACCTAGAACCCACGGTTTTACCCCACTTGGGGGCTACAGGAGGGCACGGGGAGGTGAGGCCCCTGGCGAGCCTCTTGTAGCTGAAAGAGCCACAAAGGCTGCAACAAACATACTTAGTGGGGCTAGGCTGAGTGGGAGCCAAGAACGTATACAACCTGTGCGCCCTGGCGCCACGGACAACATGCATTTGATTTGTGGCTTTTGCACGTTCCTGCAACGTGGGCGGCTGGGCCTTGACGAGCGCAAGAGGGGGAGGGGCCTCAGAAGCTCGGGCACGACGCTCACGATGCAGGCAATTTTTCTCAGGCAGTACCGCCCCGACGCCTGGGCACCCAGACACCCAAGCCCTTGACGAACTTCTGATGGTGCTGGATGAGCTGACGAAAAGCCACGGGGGGACTCCTCTGATGAGTACGAGACTTGGCAGCAAGGTCGGCCAGCTTGTTGCCCTCGGTGAGCCGAGCCGTCTGCACTCCGTCCAGGACCTGTTGCCTCTTGACGTGACTGCGGACTTCGGCCAGGGTGAATCCATCACCCCAATCGGGAATATCTTGCCAAACAAGCCTCCAGAGGTTGGCCCAGGCATGCCCTGCGGAAGTGGTGCGGTCCTCTCCCAGTAGGTTGACGCCCTGGACCACAAAGCTGGAGTCAGAGAAACTCGCAACAGGAGGTACGGCGTGAAGCAAAGCAGTGTACAATGACAACCGCTCGGCACCGTCATTGTCCTGATGCGGCCCTGGAAGGAAATCCGTAACAGTACACACTCCAATCTCAGCCTGCAGATGCAGCGCAACAGCTGCAAAGCCTGCCACTGGATAAAGCGATAACTCCTCGAAACAGGACCCGTCCAGGAAGATGTCCCCAGTGAACCTCATGGGGTCTCCTTGCCATTGGAGGTAGGGCTGCACTGGGAACTGAATCAGATCGGGCGGCACAGCTGGCTTGGCAAGCACGAGTCGCTCGAGGAATACTTCAAACAGCTTGTTTTCCCTGGCCTTGTCGGCAAAGACACTCACGAGCGGCGGCACGGGCGCGGTAAGATCGGAGATACGCTCACATTCCGCACGTTTGTGGGAGAGTGTGCCTGGAAAGGATTCACAGACCATACAGAGGGGGTCCTGGATCCAGCCGTGCTCGAACTGGCTGGCCTGAGGCCACTGGGCCCCGATAGCCACCGACCGAAGGTAGGCAGCCGCTGGGGCCGACAGCAGCCTGGAGGCAGAAAGCGAACGCAACGGCTCGATCCAGATGCCCCCGAGACACGCCCGGGCGCCGTCTGCAGCTGCCAGGAGGCGATGGCCCTCTCGACCAGCGCCTGCACGGACCTGGGGGCACAGCTGGGCGCGGCCGAGCACCTGGCCACTCGCGGGAGCTCCCGGGGATCCAAACCGCCAGCAGCAGCACCCACCCGATGGAGGGAGGCCCCCGAGCGCGGAGAAGGGCACCTCGATGGCCTCTGCCAGGGGGGGCCGTGGGGCCCCGGGCGAGCGGCAGCGGCAGCGAGACCCTTCCTCGAGGGTCTGGATGGGCACGGGGATCCTCCAGAGCTTTGTGGGCCCCGGGAACGGCAGGGCCGATTTGTCACCGCTCCAAAAAAATTTCCCTTGAAAATGGAAACGACCTGAAACGGCAGAAAAACGGCTCCAAGATTGGAGCCATAGCGGAACCGGTCAAAAAACGGCGACGGAACCGGTCAAATAATGGGGTCGGAACGCTCCGGTACAAAAACGGCAAAACGGAACCGGTAAAAAAACGGCCATGTCGTTTCCAGGGCCCACTAAGGTCCAGAGCACGTGCATGAAGGCCTTGACAGGCTCCAAAGTGGCACGATCGATGGGGTCGAAATTTGGGCTCGGCGTGAGGAGCGAGGCCAGCGTTCTGGATCTGCCAGCAGCTTCAGCCCCGAGAGACGCAGCAGCCATGGCATGGAGAGTCTCAAGCTCCCCCTGCGCGAGTACCCGGAGCAGCCGTGCCAAATGTGGCCGTGGTCTCGACGGATGCGCGTGCCATGCGCTGCAGTGTCTTCTTGCGTGCACGCGCTCCCTGCAAAGTGCACCATGCGCTCGAGCTTCGACTTTGCAGCAGGTAATTATGCGTGCGGCACGCGTGCGGCGTCTCGCCGCTCTTCCAGCTGACCCGAGGTTGCGCTCCGAGTGTACCCCAAGAGCCTTGGCGGCTACAAGCCTGAGGAGGAGGGGAGGAGGAGGGGAAACACGAGGATGATGATGATGATGATGATGATGATGATGATGATGGTGATGATGATGATGATGATGATGATGATGATGATGATGATGAGGAGGAGGAGGAGGAGGAGGAGGAGGAGGAGGAGGAGGACGAGGACGAGGACGAGGAGGGGGAAGGAGGAGGACGAGGGGGAAGGAGGAGGACGAGGAGGAGGACGGGGAAGGGGGGCGACGAGCGCAAGTCGTGGGAAGCGGGAGCTGGCGAGGGCGCCGTCATCAGCCAGCCTTGATCTCGACTAGACGTAAGAGCGACCTTTCGTCGGAGTGATCCTTGGTGCAGGCCCAATCGGGCCTTTCGATCACTAAATGCGATGCGATAGCAGCTGCTTGCGCGCCTGGTGGTGTCCCCGAAGGACCCCCCCTTGGCCGCGCACCTAGGGTCACTCTTGCCTCGGGTCAGTCTTGCGTGTAGCCGATGATCGGAGGAGGGAGCTGGCTCCGCTGACGAAGGCTCCTCCCGGAGCCGCCTGCGGCTTCCAGCTCGGGTGCTCTCCTGGAGGTGGTCCTGGCCCAGGGCGTCCCCAGCGGTTCGCGCCACGTCGGAGCCGCGGAGCCTCGTGGTGGGGGCGTTCTCGAGCCCGTGGAGGCCTCCGCGGACCTCTTGGGGGGCTTGGCATCGCTCGGACGTGTGCATTTTTCCCTCGGCGAGGACCATCGAGGAGCATCCTTGATCATCGAGCGAAAAAAGCACGCACGAGACCGAAAAACACAGGGAATGGACGTCCGAGCGATGGCCAGGGGGGGGAATCGCCCTGGGCCAGGGGCGCCTCGGGCAGCGCCCGCCCAGCAGCCCCCGGCGGCCCTCTGGAGCCTCTCTTTGGGGGGCTCCGGGGCCCTCCCTGGCGCCTCCTGAGGCCCTCTGGGCTCTCCTCGAGGCCCCTCCTGCAGGGCCTCCTGGGGCGAGGTCTCGCGCCGCCTGCTGGGCCTCCCCCAGGGCTCCCAAGGGCCCGTGGCCCATTGGGACCTGCTTCTCGCTGGACTGGGCGCCGCAACCAGAGACTGCTCGTCGGAGTCCTCATCCCCAAGATCATGTTGATTGTGCAGTGATTCGATAGATACTTATCATGGTTTATCATAATGGGTGGGCCTGGCGGTCGTACACCATTCCTGGGTGCGTGTCTGAAGTGGGCTTCCGCGGTGAGGGTTATTGGTGCTTGTTGCTTATTGTTTGTTGTTGTCGTCGTCTTTGCCCGCGACCCACCCGCATTGCTTCAACGAAAATTCGGCGCCTGCGGCGGGCTCGTTGCGCAATGCGTAAAACATCGGCGCTGTCGACGGGCTTCTTCAGAGTCGAAGAGGCTGCCGACGAACCCGCCGCCCCCTCACTTTTGGATGCATCTCGTGGGAGATGCAATTCAGCGCTAATAGGTCCGTAGTCGAAATCCTACCTAATCCAGCACGTCTCGCACAATCCATTCAAATTCCAATGAATCTGGTTTAATCTCGTCCAATATGGCTTAATCCAGGGCCGAGTCTGGCCTAATTTCAATTTGGTTCCATGGCCCCTTAATCGTGTTTAGTCACCATCCATCGTTTTTTCGAAGACCTCACAGGATATGCTTCTCAAGTCGCTCTTGTCCGCAACTGCGGGGGGCCATTCGGGGGCGAAAAACATGTCCGTACCTTGGCCACGACCCCGCGGATACGGGGCGTTTTTTCGCGGATGCCCCGCTTGGAACGTATATCCGTGCGGCAGCGTATCCGCGGGATCGCGACCCATAATCCAGACCGCTAGGGCGCGGAGATGGATTCAAGCAGTGGCGAGGCGTCTCGGCTTGCGTGCAGCCCTCTTCCCCCAACAGTGCGCTTGCACTCAGGTGCCCTTGCCTTGTTCTCTCGGGCAACTGAGCCTGAGCGCCGGTCTGGACGCCTCGTGGCCGCCCGTCGGCCCCGCCGTCGCCGTGGGAAACCGGGCCTCTGAGAGCCGGTCCAGCCGGCCCAGCCGAAAGAATGTCCTGCCGGCCCGAGAGTGCCGGCCCGGCCGGCTCGTGGCCGCCCGTCGCTGCCGTCGCCGCTGCGCCCCCGGGGCGGTGCGGCCGGGTCGTCGCCGCCCGTGGCCACCGCCTGCAGTCGCCCTGCGATCGCAGTGCGCTGCATGGCCTGAGTCTGCATCGCTTCGCTTGTGCTCTGCATGGAGTGAGTATGGCACTGCATCGCTGTGCGGAGTATTGCACTGCACCGCTGTGCTCTGGTGGTGCAGTGCGTTTCATTGCTCTGCATGTTGCCTTTGCAGTCGCACTGCTAAATACCGCAGCGCCACGATCTGCATCGGATCGTCTTGTAGTGCCGTGCATCGCGTTGCATGGCTCCGCATGGCCCTGCATGGCGTTGCGTTGCGTTGCGTTTGTATTGTTTTGCATTGCGATGCATTGTTCCGTATTTGCTGTCATTGCTTTGCATAGGTTTGCGTTGCATTGCGTCGCATTGCCTCGCATTGCGTTGCGTTGCGCTTGTGTGCGTTGTTTTGCGCTTCATTGCATTGCATTGCGTTGTATAACTTCGCATTGCTCTGCCTTGCTTTACATTGCATTGCGTTGACGTGCGCTGCGTTGCTTTGCATTGCTGTGCACTGCTATGCATTGCGTGGCATTGCTGTGCGTTGCTTCGCACCGCGTGGATTGTACCGCCCAGGCCACAGTGATGGCCGCACCTGGATTGCTCCGCGTAGCTTGCAAGAGGTGCATGGTTTGGGCTCCATGCTGGCTGGCATGTGGTTTGCACGACATGCTCTTCGAGCAGTTCCAGCTGAGACCGTCATGTCTGAGTACGCAGGTTCGACGGTCTAATGACACTGGTTTGGTCTTTGAGCGTGCTGTTGTTCGAAGAACATGTCGTGGCAGGCCTATAGGACATGCCAGGACGGCCGCTCCCTGCTCAAACGATGCGTTGTTCGGTATCCTCCGCGCGCTCGCGCGCGCCCGAGGCTCGACGCCCCCGGCGCCCTGGCGCTCACGAACCAGAGCGCTTGCGGCACCGCGGGCGAGCCAGGAGACGCGGCGCCCTCCCTCGGGGCCCTCCTCCTCCTCCTCCTCCTCCTCCTCCTCCTCCTCCTCCTCCTCGCCGGTCGGGTGCAGCCTCGAGGCGGACGCCCGTGGTGCCGCCGGGATCAGGCTGCCGCGCGCGGCCTGCGCGGCCGTCGCGGGCCCCCATCCTCCGGAAGGGGCCGCCCGCCTCCGCCTCCTCCTCCTCCTCCTCGTCCTCCTCCTCGTCCTCCTCCTCCGCTCGCCCTCCTCCTCCTCGTCCTCCTCGTCCTCCTCCTCCTCCTCCTCCTCCTCCTCGTCCTCCTCCTCGTCCTCCTCCTCCGCTCGCCCTCCTCCTCCTCGTCCTCCTCGTCCTCCTCCTCCTCCTCCTCCTCCGCCTCCTCCTCCACGAGTCTGTGGGCGAGGGTGCCGAGGCGCCCTCGGAGCGCTGCAAGGCCCGAGGGCGCACACGCGACAGGTTCGGCAGTGGCCCCCGGGGGGGGCCTGTGCTCAGGGGAGGCTGCGGCACCGTTCCACGATGTGCCGTGAGCCGATCGGGCAGGCTGGGCCCTTCCTCATGTTCAGTGCCTCGTGCACCGAGACGCCTGAGTCGCTTGTGGCTGCACATTCCGCCTCCGCCTCCTCCTCCTCGTCCTCCTCCTCCGCTCGCCCTCCTCCTCCTCCTCAGCCTCCTCGTCCTCCTCCTCCTCCGCCTCCTCCTCCGCCTCCTCCTCCTCGTCTCCCCCAGTGCGATGCCCCTGAGGAGCTGCTCTCTCCTCACAGGGAGCTATAGAAGTGAGAGGAGAGAGAAGGCCCCGCCAGGGCCGCCCACGAGGCAGAGAAGGCAGGAGCGACGAGGGTTCAGTCGGGCACGTCCCCCTTCAGGAGGAATCTTGAATATTCAAAAACAAAATGGTTTTGGGACGATCTTTCTATTATGTTGGACAATGTTTGAACATTTTGGGGGTGTTTGCTTTGTTCCTCCAAAATCTACCTGTAGGGGGGCACGACCGATCTAAGACTAGGGGCGACTGTCGAGGAGGAAGAAACGGCATACTCTCTGTCGTCGTCGTCGTCGTCCTAGTCGTCGGCGTCGGCGTCCTCGTCGTCGTCGTCGTCGTCGCCTGGCATAAACATAAATTGTCGGAGCTCAGCGCTCCAGGGAGGGGGGTCCTGCGCCGATCCACACAAACTCAAAGCAGACCTCCGAAAGTGTAAGTGTATGCAGCTTGTGTTCCTCTAGATCCAGACGAGGACGAGGATGATGAGAAAGGAGCAGGAATGATGATGATGATGATAATGATGATGAGGAGGAGAAGGAGGAGCAGGAAGAAGAGGGGGGAGGAGGGGGCCAAGAGGAGGGGAGATGGATGAGACACTGGAGAAGCTGGAGAAGGAGGAGGAGGAGAAGCAGCAGCAGGATTGAGGATGAGGGAGGAGGAGGGAGGACGAGGAACAGGAGGAGGTCGAGGGAGGAAGTACGAAGGACTGTGGAGGGGGGAGAAGGGATTGGAGAAGGGCGGAGGGAAAGGAAGGATGAGGCGCAGGAGGACGACGAAGAGGAGAAGGCTGGTGGTCAAGTTCGCCAGGCCGAGGGGGTCAGCGGGGCAAGACGGGGTCAAGAGAGGGCGAGAGAGGAGGATGGCGGGATGGGGCGGAGGAGTGCGCATGAGGGGGAGGAGGCGGAGGAGGAGGGCGGAGGCGGAGGTGGAGGGAGGAGGAGAGTGGGGGAAGGCAGCAGGGGGGAGGGAAAGATGATGGAGGGCGAGGAGGACTGGAGGAGGAGGAGGAGGAGGAGGACAGTGGAGGCGGAGGAGGAGTAGGAATGCGGAGCCGGAGGAGGGAGGGAGCAGGATCGGGATGAGGCGCACGAGGTGGAGGGGAAGGCGGAGGGGCCGCCCGCATGCAAGGGCAGCACCTGCAGAGCAGGTCGGCCCGTCGGGCGCCGTGACGGTGGCGCGGTCTGATCTTGTCGTGGCCCGTCGTCGTCGTCGTCGTCGTCGTCGTCGTCCTCGTGGTCGTGCCCGCGCTCGGCGTCCTGACCCCCCAAGACGCGCGGAGGAGCGGTGGCGGTGCCCGGGGACACGTGCTCCGAGCACTTCGTCGGCTGCTCCCACTCGTGGCCGCGGGCCTGGCGGGCCCTATCGGGGTGCAGGGCGCGTGCTTGGGCGAAGGGGGCAGGGCCAGGGAGGCAGCCATCCAGGCCGCCCAGGTGGAGTCTGAGTACGGTAGGTTCGCGTCGTGTCGACCGGCGGCGGCCCCGCCAGCGGCGTTCAATTTTGAACGCCACGGGCGACCCAGAATCGTTCGATGTGGAACGATTTGGACGTTTCGGAAACGGCCGATCGTTCAAGGTTGAACGATCCCCGCGGTGTCGGGAACCAACGCCCGGGTCGACACGACATGGACCTGTCGTATCGAGCAGTGCCGAAGCGTCTTGGCTTGCTCATAGGCCCACGAAATAATGTTCTGAGAGCCGTCTATGGTCTTCACGGAGTGCTCTTAGAACAGTTCTGGCTGAGAGTGTCGTGTGTTGACACAGCGTTGTTGTTCTGAGAACATCGCTTTTGTTTTTCGAACGTTTCTGGGTTCTAAGGACATGCCGTGGTAAGCCTACAGAAGTGCCGCGACGCTCGGTCCCTGCTCAAGAGTAGATGTGGTCGGAGGATCAGGCCGCTTCGCCCATGCATCGGCTATGAGGCTGGTTGTGTGGCCCCATGTGCGCCACGCCGCCGATTCATCGGTGATGCATCGGCGATGCGGTGCGATCCTCCGACCTCATTGGTGGCTCCGACCCTGGTTGGGCGGCCCCCATGGGAGGGCTGGTGTTTCAGGGACGTCTTGGCGACGACCTCCATCCTCCACGGATTGTATTCGACTCGATGGGTCCGCGCTGGCGGAGGGGGGGAGACCAGGGTGAGGAGCGACATGTATGGATATTCTTGGCATCGCTCGGACGTGTGCATTTTGTCCTCGGTGATGGCCATCGAGGAGCATGTTGGATCATCATGCAAGAAGCTCACGCACGAAATCGAGACATGCAAGGGGAATTGACGTCCAAGCGATGGCGAGTTCTTGGCGGTCTCAATCCTCCACAGATTGTGGTCGACGCGATCCGTTTGGAACACGCGGGCGGTCCGTCGATCTGCGATCGGGGGCAGCCCGCTGGGCAGCCACCTGCAGGGAGCGGGGCGCGTGCAGCGACGGGGGGAGAACGGCGAGGAGGCGGAGGAGGAGGAGAGGGGAGGGAAGAGGCTTGGGAAGGGCGGGAGGAGGGACGCTTTGGGCGATGTTGTTGCTGATTGGGCCGGGTGCCGATCAGCAGAGACAGTGAGCTGGCAATAATCTGGTGGGCACCAGACTTGAAGGCGGGCAGGCAGTCCGTACCAGCCAGACAGTCGAGGGAGGGAGGGGGTGCGGCGCAGGAGGATGAGGAGGACGAGGGCGAGTTGGACGAGGGCGATGGAGGGAGGAGTCGGGCGCTCGGTAGCGCGGGTGGGCAGTAAGAGGGGGGCGGTTCAAGGAGTGGGAAGCGGAACCAGGCACAGCAAGGGAATCACACACAAGGGAATCACACAAGGGGATCACACTCGAGGGAATCACACACCAGGCACACAGGACAATTGCGCGAAGATTGTGGTGTGAAGGCTGGGTGGCCAGTAGTCAATGCATTGCGGAGAGGGCCTGTTCGAACGTGTTGGCAGTGTTTGGATGCAGAGGACGGTTGGTGGAAGTTGTCTTCTGTTTCTTTTTGTTCAGCGGGTTGGCACGATGGCGGGTTTGTTGAAACAGATTCAGTGGAGTCCGCCACGAGACAGAGTAGCATTCACAAACCAGTCCAGTGAAGAAGGTTAAGTATACTCGGTAGTTGTACCCATGAATTTTGAAGAGGCTAAGCGTGCAGTAACACGGATTCGGGAGTGGCGGGTTCCAGGCAATAACGTCTCGCCCGAATTTTGAGTCAAACCATTTTGACGATGCGAATGAACAACTGACACCTTGATCATCCATGAACAGTTTTCCCGAAATGTGGCACAGTCCAAGCTACAAAGCTCCTACACGTTTTTGTTTCCGCCGTTTGGCACAACATTATTGTTGGCATCTGTTCAATGTTTTTAAACAATCGGGCGCAGAAAAAAATGTCAGGAGTCCCTATATGGCATCCCGCTTATACGCGGCAGCAGCGACGCATGAGCTTCGGCACGCAGGTTGGTCGACGCCACCTGGGGAGACACACATTTCAAAGTGCTAGTTATGTTATTGAAGTGGGGCAACGCGTTAGGCCGTGACAACCCTACAGGACTCGCACACGCGCGGCAAGAGGTCCGACTCGCAGCAGCAACGGTTGAGGTGGTCCAGAGAGTTTCACAAGATGCGGGAGTTTGGGCCTTGAACGCCAGCAGCGCCCTGAGCTCGGCCGGTATTGGACGACCTGCGATGTCTCGGGAGCCTTGAGACGGGGGCCAATGCAAACGGGGGTCAGCCAGAGCGCCTGATCTTGCAGGATCCTGCAGGGGCAGGGTTGCAGTGACCCAGGTTTGGGCGCAGGATCCTGCGGGATCTTGCAGGGTCCTTCGCATGGATCCGGGCTGTGGGTGCAGGATCCTGCAGGATCCTGCAAGGCCTGACTGACCCGGGTCTGGACTGACCCGGGCCAGAAGATCCCCGAACTGTCGGAAGGCGGCGACCCTCGAGGTGGAACGGCCCCCGCGGCCTCTCGGGGGCCGATGCTCGGCGCCACCGCGCGAGCTCGTCGAGGGCCACGCCCCGGTGCCCAGGCTGGGCAGGTGCAGCCTGGAGCGGGCCGCACCTTGAAGCTTACAGCCCTGGCCAGAGTGCAGCCAGGTCAGATTCGGCATCGGCGCGTGTCCATCCGTGGCCGAAGAATGGTTCGGATCTGGCGTAATTCAGGCTGGGTCCACCCCATCCCGCGCAAGCCGGCCTGATCCTGGTCTTACTCCGTTTGAATCGTGTTTCTTGCCCCCCTCAATCGGGTCTGATGGCCCTCAATCGTTCTGACGAAGGCCTCCCAGCAGGTGCCTCCTAACTCACTGGAGAAGCTGCCCTGTCGGGGGCAGATCTCGATCCCGATCATCATCCACCCCGCCCCCTTCGGAGGGGGGAGGGGGCTCGGTGCAAGCTCCGCGCAGTTGCCCCCAAATCAAGAAGCTGCTGCGACCCCTCCGGTCGCCGGCGGCCTTCCTCTGTCCAGGTCCCCTCCTGCCCGCCTCGGGCCCTCCTCGGCCGTCCCTCGAGGAAGATAGATCGAGGAGGATCGATGAGGAGGAGGAGGAGGAGGAGGAGGAGGAGGAGGCGGATCGAGGATCGAGGAGGAGGAGAAGGATCGAGGAGGAGGAGGAGGAGGAGGAGGACGAGGATCGTGGACCGAGGGGGGGGAATCGCCTCCCTCGCCAATTGTCGAGGAGGAGGAGGATCGAGGATGGAGGAGGAGGATTACTGAGGAGGGGACGAGGGGGGAATCGAGGAGGAGGAGCATCGAGGATCGGGGATCGAGGAGGAGGATCGAGGCCCTCCTCTGCTCTCCGGTTGGTCCGTCCTCCCTCGGAGCCTCCTGCAGGGCCACCCGGAGGCCGGGGCTCTGCCGGCTCGGGGCGGCGAGGGCAGAGAGAGCCAAGCGAGAGAGAGAGAGAGGTGCTCACGGTGGGGAGTCGTTCCCAAGAATGAGAATGGAATGGGTCGACGGGCATGGCTAGCGTCCCCCGGGCGCGTCTCCGTACTGTTTTTTTTGTGCGGCGAGAGTGATTCGAAGCAGCGTTGCGATCCCATTTCCTGCATGAGGCCCAAGGACTGGATGATGGTGCGCCGTTCGCCCTCGTCAGTTGGATCCTCGCGTCGTTCTCCAAGGTCTTGGACGAAGATCTGCCAGGGTTTTGGGGAAGGTGCGTCACTGGGCTCCGCGGAGGCTGCTGCTGCGCACTGTTTGTCGCGTTTGCGGGCATGCCGAGATGGAGGCTTCTTGTGAGGGGGGCGACGTCCACGGAGTCGGCGGGCTGGTCGAGGCCCATCGATCGAAAATCCAATGCCCGAGGCCGACGCTTTCGACTCCGGGGCTCCTCATCCTCAACGCCGTCTGACGTGCCTAGCGGGGAGGGGGGGGGGCGTTTCCAAGTGGAAATCCCGCGCACGTTCCCGTGGTGCAGTGGTCCGAACGTGGTGCCGTGTTCAAGGCTGGTGTGGGCAGTGGTATCCTGCATCTCCTTCGCGTCCACCTCCACCTCCACTTCGTCCACCATCTCATTCGTCTCCTGCGCCTCTCCGCCTCCACTTCGTCCGCCACCTCCACCTCCACTCCGTCCACTGCCTTCGCCATCTCCATTCATCTCCTCCGTCCTGTCCGCCGCCTCCTTGGCGTCCATGCCGCCGCCCTGATCCATCTTAACCGCCTCGTCCTCCGCATTCTCCTGTGCCTGGTCGTCCTCCTCATGCACGCCACCAGGCTTATCGTGGGAGCGAGCGTCTGGCATGTCTCTCGTGGGGGCCGTCTCCCCATGCAGATCCCGTGGCCCCCCCCTCGTACACTGGCCCGAACGTGGTGCCGTGCTCGAGGCTGACGTGGGCGCTGGTGTAGGCGATGGTGTCGGCGCTGGTGTCCTGCTTGTCGGCCGTCTTCTCGTGTCCGTCCTCTGGCTTGTCGTGGAACGAGCGCCTGAGATACCCAGAAATCTGCGGCACCTTTCGAACGATGGTTCGAGCATGGTGCCATGCTGGAGGCTGGCGTGGACGCTGGTGTCGGCGATGGTGTCGGCGCTGGCGTCAGCCGCGGCGCTGCGGCAGGCGGAGGCGCGGACCGGCGGCAGATTCTCGACCAGGGTGGCGTGGACGTAGGGCTGGCGCTGGCGTCGTCGGCGATCTCATCCTTCTCGTGCCCGTCCTCCGGCTCGTCGTGGGGACGAGCGTCTGGCATACCTTCACGGGGTGTCGTTTCCCGATGGAAATCCCGCGCCCCCCCCTTGAACAATGGCTCGACCGTGGTGCCGTGCCCGCGGCTGGTGTGGGCGCTGGCGTGGGCGGTGGTGTTGTCGGTGGTGCAATCGGTGGTGTCGGCGATGATGGGGCCCTCTGGTTGGCGTCGTGCAGCGGCGGCCGCTGCGGCCGCCCCCGCGAGTGCCTCCTTGGTGGTGTCGTCCATGGTCGCGCCCGGGTGGGGTTTGTATGCGGTGACCCCCAGCGCCTGTCCCGGAGGACGAGACACATGCCGGAGCCCCTGAGCACAGGGACTCTCGGGCAGCACGTTGGGCCACGCAGCAGTACCAGCAGGCGCGAACTCCTCCGCCTTCGAGTTAATTTGGAACTCTTTGATGGGCTGGTGGCGCTGGGGTCGACGGTGGCGTTGGTGTTGTGTTGCTGGCTGTAGACGCTCAAGGGAGGATAAACCACCTGGCCCCGATAATTTGCGTTTACTAACGGCCCTGGGCGTTTATTAAACAGCCCTGCCCTGTTCGATTCCGTATGTGGGTGCATTTACTCAACGGTGTCGCGTGTCGGGGTGACTACTATGGGGGTGGAGTTTCTGCCCTCTAGACGCCGATCATGATAGCCATGCCGATGGCCGGTGGCTGGCGTCGTGTCGTCGCAGCGCAGGCCAGACGGCGCCTCGCGGCCAGGTGGCGGTCTCGCCAGCAGTGCTGGTCTCCGCGTCGCAGCTGGCCACGACCACGATCACGCCCGCGATCAAGGGTTGGCTCTCGCAGCCGTCCTCGGCGTGCCTGGCGGGGGAGGCGTGCCTGGCGCTGGCGTGCAGGCGGTGGCGGGGCCGTCCTCGGCGTGCCTGGCGGTGGCGTGCAGGCGCTTCGCGGGCGGTGCGGCCGCCCCCCACGCGGCGGCGGCGCCGCGCTCGTCGCCGCCCGGCACGAGCCCAGCGGGCCCGCTCCCCGGGCGCGGGGGGGGGCCCCCGCATGATTTCATTCCTCCTCCTCGTCCTCCTATTGCTCCTCCTCCTCCTCCTATTCCTCCTCCTCCTCCTCTTCCTCCTCTTCCTTCTCCTCCTCCTATTCCTCCTCCTCCTCCTCCTCCTCCTCCTCCTCCTCGTATTCCTCCCCCCTTGCTCCTCCCTCCTCCCTCCTCCCCCTCCTCCTCCTCCTCCTTCTCCTCCTCCTCCTCCTCCTCCTCCTTCTCCTCTCGGCGACTACAATCGGTGCGGTTGCGCGGGGGTGCGGTTTGCGAGTTGCTTCGTGGCTTTTACGGGGCTTTCTGCGAGAGACAATGTCATCATTGTCGTCGTTTCGAGCGGCACTCTCATCCTCGATGTGTACTCCATTGTATTTCAAGGGGCGACAGTGTTATATGATTCGGCCGCATTGAGTGACAGTGTCATCCGTTTCCCGGGGGAGGGAGGGCCAGATACGACGGGAAGCAAACCGCACCATTCGCAAACCGCACCCATTGTAGTCGCCGATCCTCCTCCTCCTCCTTCTCCTCCTCCTCCTCCTCCTCCTCCTCCTCCTCCTCCTCCTCCTCCTCCTCTTCCCTCTCCTCCTCCTCCGCGTCCTCGTCCTCGTCGTCCTCCTCCTCTTCTGCCGAAGGCCCGCGTCCGCTATGGACGTGCCGCCCATGGACTACCTGCTCTGTTGGTGCCACTCGTTGAGTTGCGGGCCCTCGGAGTTCGTGGTGCAGGTCGGCACGCTGAGCGTCCGCGAGGCGGGGGCGCGAACAGATCGAAGAGGACAACGCTGCACATCAATAGACTTGCTATCGTTTGCTTACTCTTTTTCTTGCCGATCGGCGCGGGCCCTCGCACCACCCCCCTATGGAGTGGGTCTTGGTTGTTCTCGGCGCCTGCTTCCAGCAGTGGAGACTCCCCCACAGGACGCACTGCTGGAACCAGTCGCACGAAGCAGAGGTCCGGAGCCAGACGCCCTCCTCTCTCAGGAGGGGAAAAACACAGACACACTGGATCGTCGATTCCCCCGAAAGTATGGGAAAATATGGGAAGTGGGGGGAAAGGCAGAAACCCAGAAAATATACGGAATATGGGACATCTGGCTATTTGTGTATATTTACTTGTGTGTCCCAGTTCCCCTTCATCCTTCCCCTGCCCCTTCCGCCCAATGTCGACACGGAAAATAAGAAAACGTACTTTCTCTGGAGGTCCGCGTGGGTTTCTTGGGTCGGCGCTGGACCCTGGCGTTAAGTCGGGCATGTCCCTCTGCAGGAGGAATGATAGAACAAATAGTCAAAGATAGTCTGAGCAGGATGTTTCATGATTGTTTGCTTGCTTTTTTATTTGTACTCCAAATTCCGCCTGCAGGAGAACATGCCCGACCAAACCCTGGCGTGCGGAGCGCGCCGCAGGGGCGGCTCCGGAGGCGCCGCTGGGTGGGTCCAGCGCCGATCCAAGAGGTCGCGCAGACCTCCGAAGGTTTGCCTTTGTGTTTTTTTATTATCCTGGGGAGGCGTGCAGGGTTTGGCTTAAGTCGGGCCTGTCCCTCTACAGGGGGGAATATTCAAAAATAGTCGAAACATCGTTTGGGGGCGATTTTGTATTATTGTTTTTGAGCATATTTGGTGCGTTGCTTGCTTAAAAATCGTCCCAAGACCGCCTGTAGGAGGACACGCCCGACCTAAGGATTAGCGGCGCGCAGATGGCGGTGCAGAAGGAGGGGGGAAGGCTTCGTAGAAGCAGCCTCCTTCTAAGAAGCCTTTCCTCCTCCCCCTACCCCGTTGTGCGCGCCGCCAAAGGGTGCAGGGTGACACCACCATCAAGAGCAGTAGTCTTCGGCCGCTGACGGACGTCGATTCGTGAATTGTCCGCTTTGCTGTTCTCGGGGCGTTGTTGCGGCTCAAATGTTTGCGAGTTCGCGCCCGCCAGGTCTGGTCACGGGTTGTTCTCATTCAAGAGCGGGATTATGGTCATTCCCGGTAGCGTCAGTGTGTAATTCGCCTCCCCCCTTGCTTCGCTCGAGAAGAGGGGTTGCCGTCATGATTGTCGTGCAGGGAGTTGGCTTGGCACATGGGGTGTCGTGTCTACGCGTGCAAAAGTCGTATTACCGTCATCGTGGCCATGATCGTCATCATAGCCATGTGCATCATGCCTTTCTTTTTCTCTGGCTCATCATCCCCATCATCACCTCTTCCGTACCCTCACGTGGAAGATGATATATGATCCTCGTCCTCTCCTTGCAACCCCCTGGCCGAGGCGTACTACTACTCCGACCGATGAGCTACTGGCAGCCCTCCCGAAGGAGGGATATTGTCGTTGCCAGGTCGGAGAAACGCGCGGTAAGCTGCAATCGTCCCGCTCAGGGGCATCGCTTGGGCGGGGGGGGGTGGGAGAGGCTCAGGGGGCGGGGATTCGTCGACCCCCATACAGTCGGGGCCCTGAAGAAGGAACCCTTTTCGTTGGGGAGGGGCTCGGTGTTCCTTGATTCCTTACCTAGGCTCTGCCTAGAAGGGTTCTTACTCTCTAGCTTAAAGGGGCCGGGCAGTGGAAAGCGCCCCGGGCGGTTCCCCCAGTCCCCGCCCCGCGGTTCCCCCCAGTCCCCTGGGAGCTTTAGCTTTAGCTTTAGCTTTAGCTTAGCTTTAGCTTAGCGTTAGCTTAGCTGTAGCTTAGTTTTAGCTTAGCGTTTCGCTTAGCTTTTCGCTCAGCGTTTAGCTTAGCTTTAGCTTAGCTTTAGTTTAGCTTGAGCTTAGCTGTAGCTTAGCTTTAGCTTAGCTTTAGCTTAGCGTTAGCTTAGTTAGCTTAGCTTTAGCTTAGCTTTAGCTTAGCTTTAGCTTAGTTTGAGCTTAGCTGTAGCTTAGCTGTATCTTAACTGTTGCTCAGCTTTAGCTTAGCTTTAGCTTAGATTTAGCTTAGCTTTAGCTTAGCTGTTGCTTAGCTTTAGCTTAGCTTTAGCTTAGCTTTAGCTTAACTTTAGCTTAGCCGTGGCTTAGCTTTAGCTTAGCTTTAGCTTAGCTTTAGCTTAGCGTTACTGATACTTTTAATGCTGCTTTCCTAGGGGTTCCAACTCCTAGGTAGGGTCGCACTGGGATAATTGTTCTACAGTTTGCCTTCTTCATTTAGGGTTCCTTAGGTCAACGCCCCGACTGTATTGCCGACGGATCGCGGAGAGCGGTCCGATGGCCCACCGCGATCAGGTGCGTGCGGTCTTGCCATCGGCCTATCGCCGATCTATCGGCGATGTATCTCGCCGACTTCAGGTCGATGGTCCCCCCTCCGCCAGTCCTCACCTGTCCAGCAGAAGGACGAGGAGGAGAAGGGTTGTGGAGGACGATCGATGGAGAGGAAGCATGTTGCAAAAGAATTTTCAGATGTCTAAGACATGTGTTACACATGTGTCAAACATGTAAAGCACATGTTTAACACATGTGTGACACATGTTCCAACATGTCATGCACATGCTACATTCAATGATAGGGCTGTTAGGGTGTCCAGTGTCGTGGCATTCACAAGAGGAGGAGGAAGGGGAGGTGGAGCGGCGAGGGAGGCGGCGGACGAAGGAGAAGAGCGAAGGCGTGGGCAAGGGCGCTGACGAGGGGGCCGAGGAGCTGGGGACGACGGCGAGACCGGGGGCGCGGCGAGGTGAGAGGCGGTCGTCGAAGGAGGGGGGCGCTCGGGAGCACGAGGAGGACGAGGAGGACGAGGAGGAGGAGGACGAGGACGAGGAGGAGGAGGAGGAGGAGGAGGAGGAGGAGGAGGGAGGAGGGGGATGAGGGAGGAGGCGGAGGGCGGAGGGAGGATGGAGAGGAGGGAGGAGGGAAGGAGGGAGGATGGAGGAGGAGAGGGAGGAGGGAGGAGGGCGGAGGGAGGAGGGAGGAGGGAGGAGGGAGGAGGAGGAGGAGGAGGGGAGGAGGATGAGGAGGAGGAGAGAGGAGGAGGAGGAGGAGGAGGAGGGAGGAGGAGGAGGAGGAGGAGGAGGAGGAGGAGAGGAGGAGGAGAGGAGGAGGAGGAGGAGGAGGAGGGAGGAGGAGGAGGAGGAGGGGGAGGAGGGAGGAGGGGGAGGGAGGAGGAGGAGGAGGAGGGGAGGAGGAGGAAGAGGGAGGAGGCAGGGGGAGGAGGAGAAGGAGGAGGAGGAGGAGGAGGAGGAGGAGGAGGGAGGAGGCAGGGGGGGAGGAGGAGGAGAAGAAGGAGAGGAGGAGGCGGGAGGAGGAGGAGGAGAGGAGGAGGGAGGAGGGAGGAGGGAGGAGGAGGAGGAGAAGAAGGAAGGAGGGGAGAAGGAGGACGAGGAGGAGGAGGAAGAGGAGGAGGAGGAGGAGGAGAGGGAGGAGGAGGAGGAGGTGCCGCTTCCCGCTTTTCCTGGGACTCCCGCGCCATCGCTCGCCTCCACCCCCCAAGGGGCAGCCCTTCCGTGACCCCCAAGCCGTCTGACCCGACAGCGTCCATGCAGTCACAGGGGGTCGTGTGGGTATCGGCCCCCCGTCCTCCTTGCCCTCCTCCTCCTCCTCCTCCTCCTCCTCCTCCTCCTCCTCCTCCTCTCTCGAGAACGGGGGATTGTGGAGCCCCTCGGGGTCGAAGGCGCCAAAGCGAGCTTTCACACTGAGTTCGCGCGTCTTTTCAATGAGATATGCGTGCTCTGTGGCGGCCTCCTCTCTCCTCCTCCTCCTCCCTCCTCCTCCTCCTCCTCCAAAAGGAACAATACGGAATGGAATGAAAATCCTCTCCTCCCTCCTCCTCCTCCTCCTCATCCTTCTCCTCGTCCTCCTCCTCCTCCTCCTCCTCCTCCTCCTCCTCCTCCTCCTCTTCCTCCTCCTCCTCCTTCTCCTACCTCTCCCCCTCCTCCACCGTCGGAGCCCGAGTGGCACGGGGCCCATCGGGCCGCGAGGAGCCGACGGCCAGGGGGGCAGCGCGGAGCATGAGGGGGGAGGGAGGGGGAGAGGTAAGGAGGAAGTGGAGGGAACGAGAAGACTTTTTAAACGACGCATGAACAACCAGATCTCGCATAAGTGTTGGAGTACAATACACCGCGCTGAAGGAAAGCACATAAGTCTAAAGCCACGCTGACATAATGTAAATAACACGAAAAGCGCCCCAGTGGCACATCTAGTGTATCATCGCAAAGACCATCCCCAAATAGCGCACCACGCACTATCAAAGCGCCCCGCTGGCACATCTAATGCACCATCTATGGAGTATTATACTCCACGTTGCAGTAAAGTACATAAATCCACGCTGCATTTAATGACCTCGTTCAGGCTCTTGCCTGGTTGCACGCTCAGACGGCCATTGTTCGCAGCAGCGGGTTCCTCGCACCAGCACTCTCCTCGGGCCACCAGCTTTGTCTCTTCGAGTGGCACAGCATGCGGTCTTCAGCGGTCTTGCATGTGTAAGGAGGGAGAGGGCGAGAAGAGGGAGGAGCAGAGAGGGGGGATGGGGAGGAAGGAGAGAAGGGGAGGAGGAGGAAAGGGGAAAGGGGAGGCAGAAGGGGAGGAAGGAGAGGGGGAGGAGGAAGAGGGAAGAGGGGGAATGGGAAATGGTGAGGCAGGTCCCACACCAGACCAAAAACCATACCAGAGACCATACCAGACCAAAGACCAGACCAAAGGCCAGACCTGACCAAAGCCCAGACCAGACAACAGACCAGACCAACAGCCAGACCAGACCAAAGACCAGACGAAAGACCAGACCGAAGACCAGACCAACGACCAGACTAGACCAAAGACCAGACCAGACCAAAGACCAGACCAAAGACTGGACCAGACCAAAGACCAGACCAGACCAAAGACTGGACCAGACCAAAGACCAGACCAGACCAAAGACCAGACCAGACCAAAGGCCAGACCAGACCAATGACCAGACTAAAGACCAGACCATACCAGGACATAAAACACATGTGAGCCGCAGCGCGCGCAGCCGCACCAGTTTTCCTCATTGGCTGTGAAATGTCCTCACGGAGAAGCAGAACGTTCTGGGGATGCAAAAGCCCAGCCAACGCCATCGAATTCGTCAGAGCAACGATCGGGAGACGCATCGGGAGACGCCTCTTCCCAAATCGCCTCTACCTCTCCTGAATTATGGTGCCCGCGCGAGCTCACCACAGTCTCGCGCATTCCATGTGAGCTCGCCCCCCTGCTATGGTATGAACTCGAAGCCACCACCACCGCACTAGACGGACCTATCCCCGCCGACGCGTCCACGCAGCGCTGCGCGTGCGCACACTGAATCTTTATGGAGCTCTCGCGGCGGGCTTGCACAGCGACGCCACGAACAGGACGATTATTGCGCTCTCTCCTGAGGTCCAACACCCACTGCTTCGACCCAGCACCCACAGAAGAGGCACTGGCCTCAAGCACGCGCTTGCGAGCATAGCGCTCGCGTTTCTTCCTGTTCTTCTCGCGGCGCGCCTCCAAGACCTCCTCGAACGTCCGCTCTTTACGAGGGCGCCCTTTCGGAGCCATCTGTAAACGTGCACGGATGGACCTTGAGGCAAAACATGCCAGGGAAGCGCTGGAGCATGCGATGCTGCTCCGCTGGCGGTGCCCCCTCACCCACTCGGACATCAAGAGCGAGATAAGCCGTGCGCAAGGCCAAAAACAACACTTGTGAGGGCACGCTCCCGCCAGCATCCGCCAACCGCATCGGAACGACTAACCAATGCCCTCCAAGACATTGCATCAGAATTCCCACACAAACTCTATCTGAGGGCAAGCTTCCGCCAGCTTCCGCAAGCATCAGAATTCTCAGCCCAAGTTGCACTCCCTCGCATTCCACTCCACTTCGTCGTTATCTTCCTCCTCCCCCCTCCTCCTCCACCTCCCCCGCTCCCCTATGCTAATTCCAAGCTTCCGCCAGCTTCCGCAAGCATCAGATTTCTCAGCCGAAGTTGCACTCCCACGCATCCCTCTCATTTCATATTTATCTTTCTCCTCCCTCCTCCTCACTCCTCCTCCTCCTCGTCCCTCCTCCCCCGCCCCCCATGCTAATTCAAAGCTTCCGCCAGCTTCCGCAATCTACCTTCAGAGAATCGGAAGGTCAAAAAAAATGCCCCCCCGAGCATGGTCCTCGAAATTCCAGCCCCATGCCGTTTGGCACAGGGCTGGAGTTTCGAGAACCATGCTCGGGGGGGCATTTTTTGTTGTGGAGAGGCTGGCTGAATGATGGCATAGCTTAAGAGGGTAAGTAGATAGGGAGAGTGAGAGTCACAGAGCGAGAGAGAGAGAGAGAGAGAGTGAGAGAGAAGAGAAAGCAAGAAAGAGAAGATAAGGAGAATGATGAAGAGAAGGGTTCGAAAAGCCATAAAACCCCTCTGGAACCCCGAGGGGCTCCACAATCCCCCAGCCTCTCCTCCTCCTCCTCCTAATCCGCCTCCTCCTCCTCCTTCCCTCCCGCCCTCCCGCCCTCCCTCCCCTCTCCTCCTCCTCCTCCTTCTCCTCCCTCCCTCCCTCCTCCCTCCTCCTCCTCCTCCTCCTTCCCTCCTCCCTCCTTCCTCCTTCCCTCCTCCTCTCCTCCCTCCTCCCTCCTCCCTCCTCCTCCTCCCTCCTCCATCCTCCCTCCTCCTCCTCCTCCTCCTCCCTCCTCCCTCCCTGCCTCCTCTCCTCCTCCTTCTCCTCCTCCCTCCTCCTCCTCCTCCTCCTCCTCCTCCTCCTCCTCCTCCTCCTCCTCCTCCTCCTCCTCCTCTCCTCCTCCTCCTCCTCCTCCCTGTCCCCCTCCTCCTCGCTCCTCCTCCTCCTCCTTTCCCCTCTTCCTCCTCCTCCTCCCCTCCTCCTCCTCCTCGTCCTCGTCCTCGTCCGTCCTCCTCCCGCCTCCCCCTCCCCCTCCCCCTCCCATCCTCCCTCCTCCTCCTCATCCTCCCTCCTCCTCCTCTCCTCCCGCCCGCTCCTCCTCCTCCTCCTCCTCCTCCTCCTCCTCATCTCTCCTCCTCCTCCTCGTGCTCCCCGCGCTCCAAAAACGGCTCCCCAGGCTCCTCCCCCTCCCCCTTGCCCGCATCACCCCTCCTCCTCCCCCGGCTCGATCCCCCGCATCCCCCCCCCACCCATCCATCCCCTTGCCACGGCCTCGGGTTCTTGGCCCTAGCTTTAAGTTGGGCCTGTCCTTCTACAGGGGGGATATTCAAAAATAGGTAAAAATAGTCTGGGGACTATTTTTTGAGTATTGTTGGGCATCTTTTGGGCATTTTTGGTGTATTTCTATTTTTTCGCCCAAAATCCCTCTGCAGGGGGACAGGCCCGACTCAACCCGAGCTGCCCCACCCAGGGCGGCGGCTGAGGCCGCCGGGGGGAGCCCGTCTGGGTCGCCCCCTCTGACGTTTGGCATTTTTGTCCCCGCGGGTCTTCCTCGAAGGCGGGTGGCCCGAGCTCCCGCCGCCGCCTGGCGAGCCGTTTTTGCGGCCCCATCGTGATCCCAACGCCTCGGACGTCTTCTGCGGAGGCGTCACACTAATAACACGTATCAAAGGCATCCCCATAAGTACATCTTTTTGAAGGCCTCGGACGTCTTCTCCGCGTGGTTTTCCCCCGACGTCGTCAGCCCTCGGCACAAAAGGCGCCGGAGCCACGGACGGGCGCAGCCTTCCCCCCCCCACCCCCCAGGAGGACGGACAGGCTGCAGTGTTCCTGGGTGGAGAGGGGGCGCTGGCCCGAGGAGGTCGATGGGAAGGAGAGGAGGAACGGCGGCCGGAAGGGAGGACGCCTCCTCCCTGACCGAGCGCGTCCCACGACTCGCAGAGCGCCTGCTCGCAAAAAAGGCTGAAGCAAACCGCGGATCTTTCTCCGTGTGCGTTGGACCGTAAGTCCCTCCGCGGCGGATCCGGGCCTCTCGCGAGCAGCTCCTCTGCGAGCAGTGGAGCGCGCTTGCCCGCTCCCCCTCCCCGTCCCCTCCCCTTGGGGGATGCCCACGGCGGGGCTGCGGAGCTCTGGGCCTACCAAGTGGGCTCTGAGCCTCCCAAGTGGGCTCGGAGCTCCGCCCGGAGGAGGGGGTGGGGGGGGGGAAAGCTCGAGGAGGCCGAGGAGGAGGCCGAGGAGGAACGGCGATCGGAAGGGGGGGAGCCTCCTCTCCTCCCCCTGCCGGCCCCTCCACTGGCGGGCAGCGGCGACCGGAAGGGGGGAAGCCCCCTCTCCTCCTGCCGGCCTCCCCATTGGCGGGCAGCGGAGGGGCTGGCCAGGGCTGCACCGGGGTCGGGCCCGCCCTCGCCCCCTGCTCGCCTGGGCCTCCCGGGAGGGGTCGGAGCTCCGTCCAGAGCTCCTGCGGCATGGCATCGCTCGGAGGTGCGCACTTGTTCTCGGCCAGGAGGCCATCAGTCGCCGAGCGCGTTCCACTACTCGCAAAGTGCATACTCGCAAACTTCAGAAAAAAAAACATGCCTGCTTTGATGTAATTGATCGTAGATCCCCCGTTGGGGATCCAGGCCATTTGCGAGTAGTCACTTTGCGAGTAGTGGAACGCGCCTGTCTAGTCAGGGAGCATCCTGGACCGCCTTGCGAAACAAAGTCACGCACGGGGCCGAAAGCTGCACGGGGAGTGGACGCACGAGCGATGGCGAGGAGACGTAGCCCGAGCCACTCGCTTCGTGACATAGGGTTTCGTCTTGCCCCCGCCGCCGCCAGGAGGCGAGCCGCCGATGCTCGGAGTAGAAGAATGGCGCAAACAGAAACTGTCGGAGATCAGCGCGGATTGCCTGGGCGCCGCCCTTGCCGCGCTCCGCGCGCCAGGGGAGGAGGGAGGGGCCCAGCGCAGACGCAAGAAGTCCACGCAGGGCCTCCGAAAGCTTGTGTTGATGCGCGGGCCGCCACCAGGGTGCAAAGTTTGTCGCGCTTCGCGAACTGGGCGATTTCAGAACGAGGCGCGAGTCCCTCATCCTGCTCCGGGGGGGGTCGGGGCGGCGCGACAGCGCGAAGGTAGTCGCGCTTCGCGGAGTGCGAAGCGCGAAGACACTGCGTGACTTGTCAAATTTTTTTGCCTCCCGTCTCCCTGCTCGCCGCCGCCAGGCGGCGTGCCGCCGATGCGCAGAAGGCGGGGCCAGATCATCATCGGTGTTGCAGCCCGCCGCCGTGCTCAGAAAGCCTCGCTGACACGGGCCCGAGGGTCAGGGTCCAGGCTGGACGAGCAGGCCGTGAGATCTTATGAGTGCAGCATCCCTTGAGATCCTGATGTCCCAATTTTCTCGATCCGAGCGTGACCGCCCTTTTTCGGGGCCCAGGACCCTCACATCGATCCAGCTAGAAAAATTATGCAGAAAGATGGCAGGCGCGATTTTTACGATGGTGTAATTTTTCTGTCGCCACGTCGGATCTCAGGGTCGTGACAGCTCGCGACCAGAGCCGGTCTTTATGCGGCATCTCTCGATCTGTGAGGATCCCAGGGCCCGAAGCTGGGCGATCACGCCCAGTGTTGCAGCGCCCGGACCTCAGGGGATGGAAACCTGGCTGGCCGGGGCGTTCCCGTGACCTGCCACTCGAGCCCACATCTACCCTGACATGCGAGGTCTGGATTGTTTCCATGCGCGGCCCCCGCCAGTCCCGACCCGCTCCCCAGGGCCATTCTGCCACCCCGGGCAATTTCTGTTACGGCCCCGGGCCTTGCGGGAGCCCCGAGAGGCCGGAGACGGCCAAGCAACCCAGATCCGTAAGGGTTGCTCCACGACGCGGGCGTGTTTGGGCCACCACCGTTCCGCGCACGCCGCCAGGCTGGCTCGGGGGCCGAGCAGGGGCCGCGATGCTCCCGGGGTGACGGGCGCCCCAGGCGGGCGCGCAGGCGGCGGCGGGCGGCGCCGAGGGTCACCCCGCGGGCCGGCAAGCCCGCGCCAGCCAAGGGGGGCCCAAGATGGCCGAGCCGGACGCGAAGAAGGCGAAGGTCTCCAGGGGGGATTCCCGATCGCCCATGAATCGCCGAAGGGGGCTTGACATGATTTACCGAGAGCCCTGGATACTGAGTCATCTCCCTTCCTTGACCCCTGAGAGTTGATTCTCTCCAGCCAAGGCAGAGTTGGTCGGGGAAAGGGCCGAACTTCAGCATCGTGGTGGAAGCATGCGAATCGAGTTTGCTATCTTCTTTTGTCGCGTAGCAGCGTCATCCCGACGAAGACTGCTATTACTAGTACGGTTACTAATGCTACTACTACTACTACTACTACTACTACTACTACTACTACTACTACTACTACGACTACTACTACTACTACTACTACTACTACTACTACTACTACTACTACTACTACCATTGCTGCTACTACTACTACTACTACTACCACTACTACTACTACTACTACTACTACTACGACTACTACTACGACTACTACTACTACTACTACTACTACTACTACTACTACTACTACTACTACTGCTACTACTGCTACTACTGCTACTACTACCGCTACTACTACTACTACTACTACTACTACGACTACTACTACTATCAGAAGAGGACATGTGGGGTTAGAGCAGTGGGGTTACAGGGAACACTTGTGAACAAGTTTTTTTTGCAGTTTGCATTTGGCCCGTCGGGGTTGAAGCTTCCACCTCGACCGTCCTCGGCAGGATGAGTTTGCTTGCGCTCTTCCGCGCATGTCGGTTTCGTGCGTTCGGTTGCGCGTGTTTGCAGGGCCATCCGCGGTGGCGCCGTGGCAATGGCATTGGGGTTGTGGCGTGGGTTCGCACCCTGCGCGCTTCTTGGGGAAACGAGGTCCCCTTGTTTTCTTTTGCTTTCGGGGCCCGCCAACGTTCAATTAGCTTGTGCCACATTCGTGCCGGCATCCGCGCTCCGTGCTCTTTGTGCATCTGCGCTGGGTCACGTGGGAATGGCCGACGCGCGCGGCGAGTTTGCGGACATTGGTGTTGCGTATTGCTATCAACAACAAAAAAATGCGCCCTTTTCCTCTCCTCCTCATCGTTCTTCGCCTCGTACATTCTTGCCCTCCACCCTCTTCCCTCTTCCTCGTCGTCTCCCACTTCCCTTTTCCCAACATTATTCCCCCCTTCTTCCCTCTTCCTCCAGCCACCCTTCCCCTAAGCCTGCCCCGCTGGCTTGTGATTGGCGCACCTGGCACGCACAATTGCCCGAAAGGTAAACCATCAACAACCAGGAAACCATCAGAATCCTCAGCCCTCGGATGACAGGCGCGGCAGTGTTCATGATCAGAAACATGTTGCTCTTGCCGTCAGCTGTTTCGAGAGACTGGTCCGTTTCCGAAGGTTGCGTTCCGATGCCCAGCGCAGCCCCGCGATTTCTGTCGTCTTCGCACTGCGGACTTCCCAAACAGACGAGCCAAACGCCAACGTCCGCAGCACATTTGGTTCGAAACCTCAGCATCGTTGCTTCTTCCGCGCCAATTTCGCGCAATCAGCGCCAGCAGGGGCGTTTACAGTAGCAGGCCTGGTCGGATCAATATGAAAGGCTGCTCCAGTCACGGAGGGGCCTCGGAGTCGTCGGACCCAGCGTCGCACCGATTTCGAGTTGGCCGAGGTCCACCAGCGACGGGCCTTGACCTTGCGGATGAAAGGCAACCGATCCATGATCGACAAGGCTCTCAACGAACACCCCGAGGACGTCAACGATGTCTACGACTTGCTGGCCAACAAAGGGCGGCTCCCCGCTCGCAACTCGGCCAGCTTGCCAGCCGCGTCGAGCGGCCTTGGGGGGCCTAGCAACGTCAAGGGGGAGGGCGAGAACGGGGCGAAGAAGGAGGAGACGCCGGAGGCAACGGAGGAAACGGCGGGAGCGGTGGGCGTGGCCGAACTCCCGAACGACGACCCCGAACTGGCACATTGCATCGAGGTCATGGGCGAGAAGATCCCTGACACGTATATCAGGTTCGGTGGCAAGCATGGCCTCCCAGGGAGAGCATGGAAAGCGCTTCTGCCGACGATGGAGCCATTGGTGTTCAACAGGTTCTCTTTGGCAGCCCTCATCCCTTCGGGGAAGAGGGAGATCGACGTCGACCAGGCGACGAAGGTGAACGAGATGATGACAGGACTTGTGGACGACACCCATCTCACAGGGAAGCTTCGTGAGACCCGGGTCTTGGTCAAGACGTTGCGCGAATTCAACGAGAAGGAGGGCAGGCCTGCCAGGAACATGCGGCTTCCGATCGACTGGTCTGTCGATGCCTGGTGGCGGAAGGACGAACACACGGAGGACATGCTGACTGTCCTCATGCTCACGGGTGCCGTAATCAAGATCACGGCGGAGAATCTTGGGGTTCCAGCTGGAGAAGAGTTCCTTGGGGCTCAATTGGAGAATCCGCACAGCAAGGCGCGCTGTTGCGTGGTCGATAGCACTGGGCTCAAGCGGAAGAACTGCTTGATTGTCCTCGCAGAGTCGGGCAGTCAGAGGAACGAAGTGAAAATCGAGGAGGGCGGCAGCAAACGAATTGCTTCAGAGGCCATGGAGACTCCAGAGAAGCCTGTTGCCAAGAGGCCCCGCGACATCGCCAAGAGCGAGGTCCACCAGGAGCCGCCGCCGCCACCGTCTGCTCCATTGGGCGCTTGAGGTGCACGGCGCACGTCGTGCCGTTGAGCCGTGGGTGAGGCGCTCAGGAACCGCGCCCTCGGGAGGGTCTAGGGGGGTGTTGTGCCGTTTCCAGAAAGTAGGGTAGCTCGGGTTTTGGCCAGTGTAGTTTTTGCCCGTGCGGCTACCGGGGGGGTGGGCAGTGTAATTCCTGCGACACGCGCCTCGTCCATTGTCGTATCGTTCTGCTCTTTGGTCGTCCGCGGGGGGGCCGCTGCGTCTGCAGCGTAGGAACCTACGGGGCTCGGAGAAAACAGTCGCGGAACCAGTAATGGCATCAGTGGCGCCTCAAACACCAACGAGCGTTAGGCCTGGCCCGCGTCGGTCGCCGAAACAATGTAGAATTTTCGGTTCAGTGGGGGTCCCCGTAAGCCGTCTTTTTGCACAGGCCGTAGTAGCGCCGCCAGTTTTAGAGGTCACGCTCGGCGAACACGCACAGGAGCAGCGACCCTCGGTTTCCGAAGGTCTTCCGCGGCATTCCGGTCGCAATTCTACATAGCCGTGCTGCTCGCAGTGTCGTATCCTTCTGCGCTTCTGGATGAGCTTGGTAGGTGAATGTGCGCAGTGCGATAGCCACTGCTTCGCCGACCTAGCATGTGGGTTCCAGATGTCCTGGGGTTCCCGAGCACAGCGCATCGGTGACAGCATCGTGTCTTCCTCCTGCTGGTCCCGCTCATTATTTCATCCTGCCTTCGCTCCTTCGCTGCCACGCGTTATCTTTGCTTCCTTTCCCCCTTCGTTCTACCTGTTATATTCGCCTCCCTGTCTCTCCCTGCTGCGACTCCATGCCCCCATCCCTGTCTTCTCAGATATTGCTCGTTCCTTGCTCGCGTCGCCACCTCCCAGTTGTCCATAGAAGCAGAGCTGATGCGGCAACTCACACGGTCGCCGACGATGGGGCCCGTCAGACCCCTTAGGGCCCCATGGCGAGGACAAATCATGACCCCCTCCTCCAAATCCCAATCGCCAGGATCGAAGTAATCTCCAGGCCACGCGCGCCGCGGATGGGCCAATTTCGCTAGACTGACAACATTTCTGCTTCGCGTATTTGAAACCCGCCGCTTGGATCCCGTTGGTACCCAATGATGCCGCGGATGGGCCGGTACACCCAAAATAATAACAAATATCCACCCCCCTCGCGCGGCATCCCACCGCAGTGATCAAACTAACGCCTTCCCCCCTCCCCCGCAGACCCACGTGACGGAACGGTGCCTCCACAGGCAATGGATGCTTCCACTTGTCCTGGCAGAGACTCCTGACATAGAAATGGGATAACACTGGAGGGGTGGTGGTGGGGCCCTGGGGGGAGAGAGCGAGGAGGAGGAAAACGACGGAGGGGAGGGCAAAGGGACGGGGACAGCGTCCGCGATGGGACGGAGAGGTGGGAGGAGGGCAAAACAAGCGGGAGGAGGGCGGTTCTCTACTTGCGCAGTTTGGCGCTTAATCGAGCTGCCTTCGGCCTACCCCGCCACCGTGCCTGGCTGGCGTCTCAAAGGCGTCCTGGATGGTAGTTGGGGGTTCGTGGTCGGTTTCTCGGGGCATCTGGCAGGCAGATTCTAGGCCTCTGGCTGCATCTTGGGAGCAGGCTTGGGACTTCATCGGGCCTGTTTGGGGCCTCTTTGGTGGGGCCTCTTTGTGGCCTCTGAGAGCTCATTGGCGACTTCTTGGGGGTCCCTTTGGGCCTCTTGGGGGCTTCTTGGGTGCCTCGTGGGGCAGGAGGGAGGGTACTCGATGTCGGACCCCCTCAGAGGCCACGATCCTAGGGTGTGGTATGGAACAAATAATCAAAGTCATGCGAGAAGTGGTGGGGAACGGCGGAGGTCACGATCCCAGTGAGGGGTGCCGAAAATTGCCCTCCCCAAGGTTCGGGCGCCTCCTCCGGGGCCACGATCCTTGCAATGGGGTGTCAAAAAACAAAACCATCGTCAAAGTCACGCCATTCTGCGGGAAGGCCCAGTAGGCCCCAAGAGCCCCAGGGAGATTTGGCAACGGTGGCTCCGGAGCCCCAGTAGGCCCCAAGAACTCCAGGACCTGAGGACACGCCCGCTCCGTGCCGCAGGGAACAGTGGCAGATAATGTGTCTTGATTGTTGTGGGTGTTGTTGCAGGGTGCCTCCCCAATTGCGCGATATAGCGCCAGGCCGTCGGCTCGAGAGTCGGCATGGCCGAGCTTCCCTTGCGTTTCGACGTTCGGCAGATCAGCTTACAGGATGGCAGTCGGTGCCCCCTAGACTGGAAAGCTGTTGTGGGCCAGGATGGTCGCTTGCTTTGGGAACTCCGCAGGGTCGCTGCGACCTTCGACCACGACAAACCAATTCAAGTGTACGAGAACATCAAAAAGCATGTCTTGCCTACGGTTGCAGCGTTCTGGACAAAAACTCTCGGGGCACCACTCGTGAGCGCAATCCCGAGCAATCTGTCCATCGAGCGCCACGTGTTGCCCGTGGAGCCAGGGGCAAGGGACGAGGCCCAATTCACAACAACATCTCTGCTACTCTTCTTGCTCGCAGGATCGCAGGCGTCAGTAAGGCGAGGGCGACCCCGAAGCATCTCAACGGCTGCCTTTTTGGAGCTGTTGGAAGCCCAGGCGCCCGCCAATATCATCGACACTCTCCGCCCGCATCTCGAATTCAGGCCCGACCCCGCCTGCGTATGCGACGTGCCCGGCCGAGGCGCAGGCCGCTGCAGACACGCGTGGTTGGTAGCAGACTCGTTGGAGGAAACACTGGGTGACAACACTTCGCCGCCGCAGGTGGTCCTGGGCAAACTCCTGCTTGAGCTTCCACCATTTGTCACGAGATGCGGGGTCACTGGCCCTTGGTTGCGTGACCTCTTGGAAGCTGTGGCGGCCGTCGTTGACGGCAGCAGAATTGCCCTCTCCCCGTGCGATCCTGTCCAGGAGCCAATGCTTTTGGAGGGATCTTGTAAACGGAGGCGCATCGACCAAGATACGAGGGAGGCGGTCACCCGCACGCTGCATCCAGCTGCCTTTGGTCACTTTGCCGCCGCGCCACGGGTCTCGGGGGTTTGGGGGGTGTGGCGCCCGTGTCTCGCGGCGATTGGGGTTCGGGGCGTTCCAGGACCAACGAGGGGGGGGTGCGCGCGAATGGGCGCGGGCGCAGCTCCTGGAGAGGGGACTTTTTTGTTGGCAATGATACAAAACAAGCGCCAGACAAACCACGCGCGCTCCAACACGCCACTGCCGTGCGAGTTCGGCGGCGGATCGAGAGGGGCGGGCGAGTTCAGTCAGCGACTGGGCTCGCATGCTGAAGATACGCCCCGATGGTGTAAGGAAATGGCGCGATAATGACCAGGCGGTGTACTTGGCGACGACGTGGTGCACGTTCCAGCACTGCAGCACCTTGGGGCTCGCCATGGACGCCAGTCGCCTTATGGAACCTGCCAAGGAATGTTTGCTGAGCGCCCTGTGGGCGCCAGAGCAGGGCGTCGCACAGGTGGGGCACTTGCAGGTCGGAGTGGGTGGGGGGAATTGCAACATCGTTGGCAATATAACGCAATCTGGGTGTAAGGTTCCACAGGGTGTTGACGCGGAGTGGCGCCGCCAGCGTCGGCGTGCGCGTCGGGCGGGTCGTGTTCCACCGAGTTTTTCCAACGCACCCCGCGGGACACGCGCCACCCTGACCCCCCCTCGCTCAGATCGTGGCACCGCCAGCGCGGATTCACTTCCACAGGGAGTGCCATTAATGAGTATGCATGGATCAGGGTGGAGTAAACGTGATGGACAAACAAGTGCCTTCCACAGGAGATAAAGGGATGGAGTGATGGAATATATCAGTGATGGACAAAAAAGGGAAAGGAGTTGTTTCCAGTTGTTTAAAGTAGAGCCCCTTGCCAGCCGCATGCCCAAGATGCATGCCAATCGGGCGACTTTGCATGATATTGAAAATCTTCAGGCGGAGCCCAGCTCGTCTATTTGTTTCGGGAAGTGCTGCCTTGAGCGCCTCTTTTCTCCGCCGCTCCTTTCCCCCCCCCCTCCGCCCCCACTCCCCCGGGCTCCTCTCTTGCTCCGTTTCGTCCTCCTGCCCCTCCTCGCGTTGTGACGTGGTGCTGTTGATGCCAAATCTTGACATTCGTAGCGATTTGCGACCGGTCGCCGCACGGCAGGCGAGTCCCTCCCCGAATCCGGGGCTATTTGCTTATTTTTCTTCTCCGCCCATTCCTCTTCACCCTCCTTACTGCACTGTGTTAGATTTATTCGCATGGCCGTTTGGGCCACCGTGTAAGGGTACAACGCAATGTCCGTGCGGCCGCGGGACCGATACGTCTCCATGGGAATTCGTATCATTGGTTTCCTCTTCTCCTGCCCGTTCGTCCTCCGCCTCCTCCCGCCATTCGTAGTGATGTGGCTTTTAAGTCTACGTGGTCGTTCATGGAGCTTGAACCGGTGTGACCGACCAAACCGTATGTATGTCCCCGGGACGCCAGAAATTCGCCCAGTGGTTCTGAGCGCCGGAGTCGAAACTGTGTACAGTATTCGCTGCGTTGAAAAGAGAAAACATAAAAAACAAAACAGCAAGTTGTTTCCAGTGGAGCGTCGGCGGTAACTACAGCCAGGGAAGTCAGGCGAACGCAATGAAAATATAACGAGGAAGTAGGAGAAGGAGGGAGGAGGAAGAACCTGAAATTGGCAATGGCCCTTGGCTCGGAAGGGGGGGATCGACTGCCACGCCGTGGTCTGCGGTTTGTCTCGACGCCTTGTTAAGGTCATCTGTGCCACGGGCTCCGTCGCAGCGGCGTCGCGATCCGCGCGGGCGCGCTGCGTTTTCGGATCGTTCGCGACGCCCGCGCCCACGCGCCTAATTCCGCTCGGCGTGCCCGGACATTGTTGGCGAACTGTTAATGCGCCGTTTGGCAGCTAGCTGATTGCAGCGCCAATTGTTATGAAGCAATTGCTGAATGCACTTTTCTAGTATTGACACATGTTAACAGGCAGTTTGCACTTGTTGCCACATGTTAACAGGCAGTTTGTTCGTGGTTTCCCCGTGTTGACAGGTGTTGACAGTTGTTGACAGTTGTTGACAGGACACATTGCGCTTGCTGCCACATGTTAACAGGCAGTTTGCGCGCGCGTGTTCTTCCCACGGAGCAATTCGTGTTTGTTGTTGCTCCCTTTTTCATTTTTCAGACGGGGCCCTTCGGAGATAGCACTGTGCGCCGGATCTTTGTTGCCACCTCCATTATTTTTGTGTTAATGCCACCCGCAGACCACGGACCGCACGTTCGCACCGCGCGCCTGAGAGTGTTGCCAACTTCGGGTTCGCAGGACTTGGTGTTTAGTGGAGGTTGGCAGTTGGCCTGCCGTTCAAATTGTGCTCCTTGATGGTAAGTTTCTGCGGTCGGGGGCTTGCTTTCCCCAGGATTTGCTGCGCTGCCGCCCCGCCTTTGTTAACAGGGCGAGCGATGGACTTAGATGCCTGTCGTTTCCAGACCAGGGGCATTAACGGTTGGGGGGCGCCTGGGAGGAACAGGGGGATGCCGGGCAGAGGGGAAAACAATAGGATCGGGTGGAGGATGTTGGTGCGTGTTGTCTGAAAGAATAGGTACGTGCAAGTGTGTGCGTCTCTTGGTGGTAGGATCGTGAGTCTGCGCCGTGGTTGTCGCGGGCCACTCCGAAAGCCAATGCCAGTCGAAAATGTGTGTCTGGCCCCCACCTTTGCGACCTGTTGTGTCGCGAGCGTTCGGGATGAGGAAAACGCCAGGGTGACATCGGGGCAGGGCCCGCAACGTTAAACCGCACGAAAACCGCCAAGGATAATCGCAAAGGCTTGGAAACGGACCCCAAAACTTTTTGCCCCCCCCCTCATGGTTCCCAACGCCCCAGGGAAACCAGAGGCTTTCGGTGCCCAACACTGTGGTTCGACATCGCGGGCCCCATGCGCATCAACAGAAACAGAGGGATGCCTCCAGAAGAGCCCCCATACTCCCCACCACAAGCACCTAGGATGACCTCAGGACCTTTCGAGTCCAGCTCGGGAAGGGGGTCTCGAGAATCACATCCAGGGCGGAGGATTGCGACATCTTTTCTGTCGGTTTGACGTCGCAAGTTCGTCTGCAATCAAAGTCCCAATCATGACCTCGACAGGGCCAAAAACACCTATATGAAGACCCCTTTGAGGCTTTCTGGTGGAGCCGCGCTCGAGCCCTCAAGAAAGCCTTGAACAACACCTTCGGGGACGGAAGATTGCGACGTGCATTCTTCCGCCATTCCATCGCGATTGGTCGTTTTCGCAAGAGGTTTCGGCAGCGGCGCAGCATTGGCATCTGATGTGCTGCGCAGGCGGTGTCGAAAGGCGCGTGAAGTGTCGAGCGGAACGCTTGCAAAGTAGGAGTATAGTATATGGAGGAAACGCAACGTAGGAGGGAGGCCGATATGTATTAGGATGATTTCGGAGTTTGTTTGGAAGACGCTTCAATTTTATCAGGACGGGCGTTCAAACATATCTGTAGGCCAACTAATGTAGGGGTGAGCAACGTCGTTTGGGTATTACGTCGGGCCCCAGGTCCTCAAAGACTTCAACGACAACATTCCTGGGCAATCGGAAACTGCAGCTGGCCAGATCGCAGGCGAGCTTGATTGGGAAGACAAGCTCCGGCAGTACGTTCTTGCCCATCCAAAGGCACCACCTGCAGAGCACAAGAAAAATGTAAATCGTTTGTCTAACATGGATTACCTGGTCAAAGTGGATCGCATTATCTCGCTGCCTGCGGCCATTCCGCGAGCCCCCGAGAATCCCAGAGGATTGGGGAAAGGGGGTTGTGGCGCCCAGAGGTCCGGGGCAGGGGTTCTGGAACGTCCTGGAGCCCTCGGCGGGTGGGGGGCACATGTTGCGGCTGGAAGCGAATAGAAGGGGGGGCCCTTTGAGAAATACGGATGCCGACAAGAGCCAGCGAACACTAGAACACACCATTGCCGTGCAGGCGCGGCGGCGGATTCAGCTCGGCGGAGTGTCGTCGGGGTTAAAGGCCTTCGTGCCGACTAGCCGACTGAGGCCTCTCTCAGAGCACGAGGAAAGATATTTCGTTAATTTTGTTGAGGTGCCTGCTGTTGGGGACGATGACGTGCCGCTATTGTTGTCGCAGCCGTGCGTGGTAGACACAGTGACTAAGAAGAGGCGATACGAGTTGCCGAGAGATTTCGATGATGATGGCAACATCGTGCCTCCCAGGAGGCTGCATGTTCATACCGACCAAGGGCCTGTTGGATGGTCTGGCCTGATGATGATATACAAGGATGTCGGTGTGAACGGAGGCATTGAGCTAGATAGGTGGCACATCACGCATGGTGATGCCAAAAAAGCAATGGTTCAGGCAAGCATCTACGCTCACACACTTTCTACGACGGTCGTCATGAAGGCTAAACGAGGACCATTCGGCGGCGCTGGTTTTTTGGGTTCTTTATCGGATTGCCTGGACCATTGGAAAGAGGTCGTTCGCGGGCGTCCTGATCCAGTCTTCAATTTTTTCTATCCGTGGATCTCCGAGGACCTTGGGCAAAATGATGTTGTCGATTACGGGTCCGCGAATCACAAACAGCAGATCTTCGATATAGCCGTCGCGCACCCCATTGTCAAGAACGTTGGCGCGGAAACGAAACATGCCAGATGGTTTGCGTGGTTCAAGGCGTTTCGAGAAACGTTGAGTGAGGGCTGGAGCGTGTTATGTATGGCAATCTGGTGGCCGTCCCCGGATGCGATGGAGGCGATGGGGGCCATGTATGTTGCGAACTCTCACATAGATGTCGACGCAGACTCTCCTCAGGACGACGGTGCTTTGACAGCAGAAGCGAAATCAAGTTCCATGAAGGCCAGTGCCGAGGAGATAAAACTCAAGAGAGGATCGCGGCAATGAAACCGCCCATGTTGCACGGGACGGCCATGTGATCGCAAAGTTCGAAATGCCCCGGCCCCGTCGCAACCGATTTGTTTCAGCGCACTGCTTGTTTGCACCAGCTGTTTAGAAACATGCGTCCTGTGATGTGGGCCGGGGTGTCGATGTCAAGAACATTGCGGTCACCGTGGCCGTTCCGTGCAATATGTGCGGTGTGAAGCCCAGGCATGTTCAGCCACACGTTGCAATTTTCAGGCATGGTTCTCATCAACCGCAAGGTGAAATACATCTGCGATATTGCTTGTTATTTGATCCGTCCTGCAGAGGAGTACCAGGCCATTGGGATCACTCAGTGCAAAACCACTCTGGGGCTCGAGCATTACTACGTCTGCGCAGCGAGTGGGTTTCATTTGCAGGTCTTGCAAGAGATTGTTGAGCGGTGCGTTGATGTCCTCTCTCAGGTGAAAGGTTTGCGCTCCCATGTGACTTCAAGCGAGGATTCGCATAAACGAGCTCGGTCGTTGGCCACGACGGCGTTCAGGCTGATGCTTGGCTTTGTAAGCATGCACTTCGCTAGCCGATCAATGTACACTCATGGGCTTCCGTTTCGTGCTCTGCAGCTGCTTTCCAAGGACCCGGGCGAACGGCAGTCTTGTTTGACGTGGCTTGAGTCTGTCGCGAAAGTGTTGGGCGATCTTGAGAAAGCAATGGCGGTCGAGACAGATGGTTTTTACAAATCGGTCCATAAAAAGTTGGTGTGGCCTTCAATGCAGTTTCCCCGTGAAATGCTGTTGCTTCTCGAATCGTGCGAGTTCGCTGGCGTGCCCGTGGAAGAAGTGCAGAAACCCTTGCGAGAGTTTGCGACGAGTTGGGGCGGCACCAAGGTAATCTAATTGCCTTCGATATATCCCGCCGCCGTGCCTGGTGCGTCAGAGGCGTCTTGGATGTTGGTCGGCCGCTCGCGGGTTGCCTTTTGTAGGGCATCTGGAAGCAGCTCCGAGGAATCCGATGCCCTATTTTGGGCAGTGTTGGGGCCTCCTGGGCGCGTCGGGGGCCTATTGAGGGCTTCCGTGGGGCCTCTTGGGGCTCTTGGGCGGCGTCTTGGGAGCCCTTGAGGCCTCTTACAGAGCCTCTTGGGAGCTTCTTGGGGCGGGAGGGAGAGGGAAGGGGGGGGGTCGATTACGGCTCCGGCCCAAAGGAGGCCGCGCTTCTTGGAGGGGTTTCGATCAATTTATCTTTTAAGAATTTGGCGAGAGGCGGCTGGGGGCGGCGGGGGCCCCGACCATCGTGAGGGGCGTCGAAGAATTGCCCGCCACACAGTTCGCGGGGCCTTCCGGAGGCGACGATCCCTGTGAGGAGTGCCGAAAAATAGCCTTTCCCAAAGTCACGCGCCACCCTGCGACGAGGCCCAAGAACCCTCCGAGATTTGCAATGGTGGCTCCGGCCCTGCAGAGACCCATCAAGAACGAACTTAGGGACCTGAGGACACGCCCGCCTCGCGCCGCAGGGCGCGGCGGCGGATCGAGGATTTGGTCCATGTTGCGAAGGAGGTGAAAAACCACAACGAGGCTGGCAAGCACGGCGTGGGCGAGGTCATGGGACACTTGGCACATTCTCGGGTGCTGGAGGAATACGACCGGCCTAGGCCGAAGGAGGTGAGAGTGACCCGCGAGATGCAGTCTCTGATTCGCTCCCGTTTGAAAGAGCTTGCCGGGGGCAACATGCATTGGCGCAGCCTGTCTGACGAGGATTTTGCCTTTTTCGGTTCTTCTGCCTTCGAAACGGTTTCGGCGGAAGCCTTCCGCCACCAGGGCTTGGCAACCATTAGCTTGCTCCACGCTGCAGCGGATTTGACAAAGCTCAAGAAGTCGTGGATGAACCTGATGCTTTCCAGGGGGGCCCTGTTGCACCAGGTTGGCTCCCTAAATGCGTGGGTTGTCGCTGGGGCGTCGGAGCTCGGCGTCGTCGGGGTCAGGGTGTACGCTGTGCGTGACAAGCTCGGGGGTGGGGGCGATCTTTCGTGGATCAGCTTGGTGCCCGTGGCCGGCATCCACGATGACGTCGCTGACCGCTTCGCACTGTTGCGCATCGACGATTTGGCGGCCTGGCGAGCTTCAGATGTAGAGATCGTGCCCAACGGAGCGTACGCCCATACTCTGGCAGCAGGGAGTCACGCCTTTGGGCGCGACTTCGTGGTGCGACCTGTAGCACCCCGCATGCTACTCCACTGGAGCGCCCATCGTGCGTTCAAAGGTCTGTCGACTGCCAGATAGGAGAAACTTGCGACTGAGATTGGACTCGCGTGGGAGAAGCGGAAAGATCGCCCGAAGAGCGAAATGCAGTGGTTGCGTGCATTGTTACGGAAGGTCTTCCCAGACATGGCTGGCGACGACATCGAGAGCGTCGTGGCCGATCGGTGCGCGCTCGATGACGGCGTCGACAGTGGTTCAGACGACGAGGATGTTCGCCTGTTGTCGACAGTTTCTGCAAACGATACGTTTCGCGGGGTGCTGGAGGCCGAAGACTTCACTGAGATCGAAACGAGGACCGAGAAGGCCAAGAAACGTGCCATTAGAAAAACTATGATCTCAGCTCGGGCGGATGCTGCGGCAAAGCCCGCAGGCAAGGCGAAAGCGGCCCCCAAGGCCGCCCCCGCCCCCTCTTCCAGCAGCGTTGCCCCGAAGGCTGCCGCAAAGGTCCCCGCGGGGATAGATTTGGACATTCCAGATGATCTCACGGCAGAGGCGTTGAGCATTTACTGCCCCCAGGTACCTGGCTGCAATTTGTCGTTTGAAAAGCTGTGGCACACCCGCTGGCGGTGCACGTACCCAGCCAGCGAAGCACCATATTCCAACACAGCCACAGTGCACAGTGTAGAGGAATTGTGGCCAGCAGCAAGGAGTGTCATTCAGTGGGCTTGGCGTCGGCACGTTATTTACGGTGGTCTCCCGAGCCATCACGAATGCTTGCGCGACTAGTGTTGCGGGGTGCACTGTTGCAGGCATGCGCCAT